AATTGGACCTGAAGCTCTTCAAATGTCAGGACCCAGTCATTCTCTCCATCCTACAGAAACACTACCTTTGGACTGCATTCAACGAAGCTAAACCAGTACCAATGGTATACCTGCAGCAATTCTGGGGCTGTATGCGAACTGAAAGCAAGAAAGATCGGTCTAAGATCATGACCAAGCTGAATAATGTAAGAGCGGTGCTGACACCCTCTACAATAAGGGAGACTCTGAATCTCCCGGTGCTCCAGAACTATGCACCGCTTCCCTCCAATGAAGATCTGATCACAGACATGAAGAAGCTGGGGTATGAAGGTCCGTTACCCCTGATCTCAAACTTCACCATCTCAAACCTGCCCCACCCGTGGAAGAGTCTGTTCGGCCTGGTGAACAAGTGTCTATCTCCTAAGCACGCCGGACATGACAAGTGCAACAAGCAGATCCTACAAATCTTCCATGGGATCGCATATGACAAACAGTACGACATGGCCCAGCTCTTCTGGACAGAGCTGATGGACCAAGTGAAGATGAAGGAGAACAACAAGGGGAGCACTATTCCCTACGCTCGGTGGCTGGCGCTGATGATCCACAACATGTTGGAAGCCACCCCTACAATCCCTAAGCATAAGGAAGACAAGCACTTCGCTGCGCCCAAGCTCAAATACTTCCAGAGGGACAGCAACAAAGCTGAAGCACTGCCTATTCCGGACTCCCTGCTTGATCTAGCAAACCCGAGGGATAAGGCAGTCATCGACTACAAAGAGTCATTGAAAAGAACGGAACCTATGGTTCAGCAAAACCCAGCTGGACCTTCCCAAGGGACCAAGCCAAGTGAGGGTAGTAAGAAGAAGAGAGCCCCGCCACAGAAACCAGTGGCAACCCGGCCCAATGATGATCAGTCTGCTAACTCTTCCGAGAGGACCCAGACTGCTGAGGGCCACCCTATCAATGCTGAGGACACTGCCGATGAACCATCAAGCCAGGCCCCTTCTAATAAGGCTGGTGGTGAGGCCTCCGATAGCATGGCCAAAGGGAATGAACGAAGAGATGATGATGATGATGATGCAGATGATGATGATGACATGGAGGGAGTCCTGATCAGCAACAGGAAGAGAGCTGGTAAACAGGCCATTCCGATAGACTCCGACTTCTCATCAGAAGATATTGAGGCTGCACTCACACCCCGACCACTCAAAGGGATCATCATTAGTGAGCAGCGCTCCAAGAAACGCAATGAAAAGCCTGCATCATCACAGCCTATGAAGAGGCTTAGAAAGAAAAGTGCAGTGGAGGAGGAGCTGGCACTGTACGATGACTGTGACACCTTCGTCACTATAGACCGAACCACGCCCCTAGGAGCAGGAGCTGACCTTGTCAGTTCCCGGGTAGAAGTCGCAGCATCCGGTTCAACTGCGCATGCACAGCCATCTCCCATCCACTCTCCAGTCTCCCAACAGACTGGAGTTTCAATAACTCAAGGGGAACTTACACCGACCTCACTGATTCCTTCCGAATCTGCTGAGAGACTTAGTGGTCAACAGCCCCGGACCACTACCCCCATCCGTTCTATCACATCGAGTCTAGGTGTCACCATTCCTACATTTTTAAATTTCTCTAGGACACCTACACTATTCACTGCACATACAGGTGCACTCACCCTGAATGCAACGACCGGAGTGCAAACTATGATGGTCGGAAGCCCTGCTACGCCAACAATGCCTCGATCATTGAACGCAGGCCACACATCAGCTATCTTCACTGATGTTGTGACAACAGTTACAACCCCTGTAACTGGAACCATTATCCCCGAAGACATTCTCGTATATCTGAATAGCTTTCTAGAGTCTACCATTAAGCCATGGGTGCATGAAGCAATAACCGCTAATGCACAAGACTCTGGAAGTACCCCAGTTGTTCAGAATATACCACCCAAACCTCAAACAACAAAACCCCCAACCATTTCCATTCCTATTTCCAAACCTTTAGCCATAGAAAACCAACAACCATCCTCATCAAGGGGAACCCAGGATACAGAACTAGTATTCTCCCCTACAACGACCAAACCCAACCTAACAACTGTACCCTTCGAGGACCTTGTAGCTGAGGTCTTTGACCGTATACTAGACGTGGAAGAAGGCAAACTCACCCCTCTTCAAAAAGCTCTTCTCCATGCTCTAGATACACAGAACACATGTCGTGACAGTCTCCGTGGCGCTAAACGTTCACATGAGGATCCTGATGATTCAGATTCTCATGAGGGGGAGAACAAGCGCCCGCGGATACTTGAGCATGTTGCTTCTACTAGCCAACCCTCAAAGCCAAACCAACCCTCCACCTCTACCAATGAGCAACCCACTACTTCAGCTAGCCATAAATCCCTAGCCACTCTCTCTAGCATGGTCGAGCTAGACATAACATCCCGAGGTGCATCTCCTATAGATGTTAACCAAGGACGGAATGGAAGTCCTGATGATGCTACCACGAGTACATCTTCCTACTCAGGCCATCAGCTAGAACCTAGTTCGAAACTGATGTCAACGGGCAGTCCTGAGGATCCCGGTGTTTCACACGACGAGTCACCTTCGACACAGCAGCAAGCTCCCTCTGAACCCTCTGAAAATCCAATACAAGATGAGCTTGAAGATCTTCTAGTTCATGATCAATGGCCCCGCAAATGGACAGAGTGGGATGACCTTAGAGAGGAAGCCGATCAGTACGAAATGTGTCGAAGCTGGCATCTCAGAGAGTTCCTCAATAAATACCATGCAATGATGATTGGACTCGATAAAGACGAACTCAAGGAAGGGGAGAATAAAAAAGAAAACCCCAAGGAACCAGAACCAGCTAAAGAAAAATGGGAAATCATACGGATCAAAGCCCCCTTTCTTGAAGAAATTCGAGAGAAGATTTGGAGACAACCAGAAAAAGTCAAGCAGTTCAGTGAATTAAAAATGCGAGGAATCAATCACCTGAAAGGAAAATACAGAGGAGGAAATCTGTATATGCTAGGACACAGATCCACAGGGCAACGTCGACAAGTTCTAAATCACAATCTTGCAACAAGTGGATGTCCCATATTGAAAATCTTGGAGATCACAGAAGATTACCTGGAGACAATTAAGTTCATGATTTTTCGTCTACAACGTACTGATGGCTCGGAGTTCACCTGTCAAGAGAATGACTTCTTTCTACTGCACATGGATGACATTTATCAAATGTTCATGAGGTGCAGGGAGCTTCCAGTTCACAAAGACAGACTCGCTAAAGAAGGCTTCGAGGCGATAAAAAGATTCATGACAAGACAAGTTCGGTTCTACGCCTCTCATGACCTCCAGATGACCATAGAGCACAACTATTCAAAGGTGAATCTTACTAGACCGGACTTGAGTAGACCTGGCCTGGAATCCTTTGAAGCATATCATATCTTTGACAATCCAGTATCAGTCATCTATCTGAATCATAACAACGAAAAGCGTCTAATGTTCGTGGATGAAATTAACAAGTATTGTGACGGAATGTTGAAGATCATCCAGGAGCAGCTCCGATCAAAGAAACAAGAACTTGGACAGAAATCGACTGAAGCCACTGAAGGAGACCAGAAGGAACTGCACAGAATTGACAACATCCTACAGGCCATCGAAAAGCAACTTGATAGAAGAAATTCACTCAGAAACTATGAGCACGCACTTAATCTCAGAAAGAATTATTATAAAGCTCAATAGTGAAGAGAAGAAGAAGCAAGACGGCACTTGATCACAAAGGGGGAGATTGTTGAGGAAAATATTTGTTGTGATCAAGTTTGTCTAGAGTCTTGTTGTCCCAATTAGATTAGACTTATCTTTTTAGTATTTATGTAAAGAATAAATGAGCTAAGGGAATAGGGCCCAAAAAGGCCTTAGGCCCTGAACTCTAGGTTACCATTTCGGTACCTGTACCTACGCCTATAAATATGCGTACATGTGGTACAGGACCGAATAATCGAGAATAAGAAATATACAGCGCCTTTCATTCAGAACATTCAATATATAGTTCTCGATAGTATAGCGTAAGGATTTCTTCTGTTCAGATTATCTCTCGATCATTATTAAGAATCCTTCTCTATATTATTGTAGATCGTTCATAGCTGTTCATTCATCCTGAAATTTGGGACCAACATTTGCCTATACACAACTTTGACCATTAATATATATTATCATCTACAAGTAAAAATCTTAAAACAACAAACTTTGATAATCTACGATGAGACATTAATAAATAAAACATAGTCAAAATAGAACATGTGATTAATGTAAAATTCTATATGTTGCACTTATTTAAGAACGAAACAAGTATATATTGTGAAATTATTGAAAGTACTTTTAATAAATAACATTTCCATATAGTTTTTACAATATAATTTACTACAAAAATATAGTTGTAACTTTAAACATAGAAATATAGTAACTTTAAAATTCAAAGAAATAAAGTTGTAACTGACAAGGGGTAAAGATGATTCCACTTGAGCTTATTAGATTAAATTGGGCTAAACTTAAATAGGCTAGACCAGACTTTAACATATCAAACCAGATCGGACTTCAACATTTATAAAAATACATAGAGATCAGACTTCTTTCAGACGAGATCATACTAATTCATACTAGATTAGATGAGACTTAAAAATACCTGATGAGATACACATCTAACCATAGTATCCAATATGAGATTCTCATGTAATAACCATGTTAAATTGACCCTTAGGGGGCGTTTGTTACGGTGTAAAGTAAACACTTTGCGTGTAAAGTGCAGGGACGTAAACTTAACTATTCTATTTTTGCATTTGGGCGTCTACATTGTCCCTTCAGAGAAAATTTGTCTATCACAAACAACTTATTTTGAGTTAATTGTAACAGACAAATTTTATTTGAAAGACAGACATGTGTACAAATTTTGTGTAGTCACCAAATTTGTGCAAAGACAATTTTCCAATTATTCATTTTTTTTCACCGAGTAAATTCAGGTGGAACTGTCGCTTCTGCCTCCAGCAAATCCAGTTTGACTCGCACACTTCCACAGTTCCACTCCACTAACACATGGCCGCCGCCGCTCTCCGTCTCCCCCTCTGCCAATATACTGCCGGCAAACATCGCCACGAAACTCTTCCCGTTCAGCCTCTAATTCACCACTCGCGCTTTCATGCATCGTACCGATCGTCATGTCCTCAGCTAGTTTGTTACCAGAAGCCGAAGCGATTCGTAATATCATCGGCTTATGCAGGCCCCGCTATTGACGCCTTTGTGTCCGAAAACGAGCTTAAATTCGAAGATACTGGAGATGATTTCTCTCCGTCGAAGCCGAATGAAGTGATTAATTGGGGACTCTTATGGAGGCTTGTTTCTGGCCACAAGACCCGCCTTGCCGCTTCCATTCTCGCTCTTGTGGGCTGTACTACTTGCACTCTGACCATGCCTCTCCTCTCTGGTACTTCCCCAGTACATGAATAGTCTCCACATTTCCACCCACCTCGTTTCAAATTTCTTTTAGGCTACATTCAAGTCCTAGCCTTTTTCATTAATCTATTATACAAAGCAATATTTTTGCACTGGATTTTGTCTATAAAGAGAAACGCTGCGTGTCTGTATTTGATTTCTCAAGGGATTGTATGAGATAAAAGGTAGTGAGTGCATCAGAGCTTCTAATTTCATTGATTGGGTGTCAATGCAGGGCGATTTTTTGAAGTACTTATAGGGAACAGACCTGAGCCTATTTGGAAAGTGCTCACCAGAGTTGCTGTTATGTACTCACTGGAACCAATTTTCACTGTGATTTTTGTTTTGAACATGAATAACATGTGGGAAAAGGTTATGTCCAGTTTAAGAGCTCAAATATTTCAGAGAGTATTGATCCAAAAGGTTACCTATTCTCTTATCATTTTGGATGAACGTATCTTGACACTATTTCATGTCTCTGGCTAATATAGTTAGCATTAAGGCAATTACTATGATGATTATCCAACCCACTTCTACATGTAAAATATGTACTAGGTCACTCTAAAGGGATTTATATTTTAAAAAGAACCATAACTAGTGAATCTATGTTTTTTCTTTAAACACTCTGCATTGTATCTTTTTCAACAAAACTTAACTATTCTATTTTTTGCAGGTTGAGTTCTTTGACCGCTACAAGGTATGCTTTTTATGTGTTTGCTCGCCATGTATGGCTAAGGTTCAAAATTTCAAATTGGTGGATTTCTGTGCTGTTATGGTATTTTAAAAATTAAAACATGGGTTTACTTGCAGTTTGTGACCCAGTCAGTCTATCAGCTATAATAAATACAGTCAAGTGTTGTTCTTGAGTAATCTGTGAGGAGGTACGGAAGATACCTCATTACCTCATTAACTTATCTCGGACCAATTTTGCTACTCAACGAAGTGGCTGAAATGGTACTCCTAATTACTCAGGGACAATGTATTTAACTGGTGACTGAGTTAAGAATTACAGTATATATAACCTAATGGCCAAAAGTCAAATTCAGAAATGGTTAACAATTACACTACAACCTAATGACTGAAATTCGAATTTAGAAATTTACATCACTAAACGCATGTCAGTTGTGAAGTCAAACTAAACGCATGTCAGTTGATGTACTTCCAACAGTTCCAAGTATCTTGTTGGTTGCCTTGAGGCTTTCTTTTCCTTTATCAGTCACTCTGCTGGTATAGTGGTATTAACATTAGTGGTTCCTGTTTGTAGGTTGGTGAACTGACGGCATTATTGACGTCTGATTTAGGCTCAATAAAGAATATTGTTAGTGAAAATGTTTCCCGGGATCGTGGCTTTAGAGCTTTGTCTGAGGCAAGCTACTAATCTAAGCAAAAGTGAGATATTGTTTTATTCCCCTCCACCCCCACCTCCCATGCCCATTGAGCTTATTTTTAGTAAGCTTAAGCTGGAACTCATCTTCCCTAAGTTTGATGTTTGGAGCAATATTCCATTTTCTTGAGGAAGATAATACCAGGGAATGATCATTTATATTTCCTTTATATGATGAAAATATAACTTCAAAGATCCTTTTCCAAATGTTTGTTTCCTTTTTCTATTGCAGATTATTGGAACATTGTGCTTATTGTTTATCCTGTCTCCCCAACTGGCACCAATTCTTGGTGTATTGATGCTTAGCGTATCTGCTTTAGTTGGTAAAGTTTATTGAATAAATTAGTACAACTGCAATATTTACACTTGATTATTTATATATACTACAGCATTCAAGCTTGTGTAACTTGATCGAGTGTATGACTATGAGAGAATACAAATGATTAAGAACTGTTATATATAAAATACATGATATTCTAAAAGACCTGCATATTTATCTATAAGTTAGTATTGTTGGAAATATGATGATATAAATATTTTATTGTGTTCTCACTCTTACAAGTATTTGTCGTAAAGTAGAAGAAAAGGGTCACAACTGAGACTTTGATCCCATACAGAAAAATAGAAGAATAGGCAAGATAAAGATTTAAATTCTATGTATTTTCTGCATCTCTGGTTGCATATTCATTTTTCTTCGCCACACTATGTGTTAATAACATTTCAGCCCTATACAAGAGGTCGACAGTGAATGTTTTCAAAGCTCATGGATTGGTTCAAGCATCAATTGCTGATTGTGTGACAGAGACATTTTCTGCCATTCGTACTGTACGTGAATTACATTTTGTCTTGCTGCGTATACATTTTAGCCAGCTTGGTGTAATTAGTTGGCCTTTAGGATGCACGTTTTATTGTATTTATGTATAACTTTTGTAGGTGCGGTCGTTCGGGGGAGAGAAACGTCAAAAGTCAATGTTTGCACGCGAGGTAGAGCCAAGAAATTGCGTTGTAGTTTTAGATTCTTAGAAGCTTACAAAATCCACTTATTCATTGGCAGATTCTTGAGTATGAGCGGAGTGGCAAAAAGCTTGGAATTTTCAGATCTGTTAATGAGTCTGTAACCAGGATTGCAGTATATGTCTCTCTGATGACCTTATATTGTCTTGGAGGGATCAAAGTAAAATCTGTAAGCACACAGAGCTCGTGAGTTGTGTATTATATAACTGATTTTCATATTTTCTCCTTCAATGGACCTGTTAGACAGAATAGGCAAACTGAAAGTTGGCTATACGTTGAAAGATGTAGAGTGATATCTGTAGGAATACATGTTTATATCTTATTAAAAGGGAGGGAGATGCCAAGGCTTGGTAGATTAGAGCCAAGGAGTTTGAGATAGTTCTTGAATCTGATTTCTTCTGTTATACTTCGCATATTTTATTCTGGCTTAACTAACTTTTAGATACTCACAATGCTTTAGGGCGAACTATCCGTCGGAACCATGGCTTCTTTTATTGGATACACCTTTACCTTAACTTTTGCAGTAAGGCATTATTTTTCTCTTTCTTTCCAAATCTTACATTCACTACTGAGTACTAACATAGTTTATACTATCATATGTAATACTAGTATATATATTATGCAGGCTTGTCTTATTTATTTTATCCCAAATCTTATAGGTTCAAGGGTTGGTCAATACATTCGGAGATCTCCGTGCTGCTTTGGCCTCTGTTGAGAGGATCAACTCTATTTTGTCTGGAGCTGAAATTGATGAAGCCCTTGCATATGCCTTGGAAAAAGACTTGAAACAGAAGAAAGCATATGATCCAAATATTGAACTATTTGCTATTGATGGTTCTGATGGAAAGCAATTTAGAAACTTAAGATACATGTCATCCCTAAAGTCAGGTAGTGATTTGCGAAGCCTTGCCCAATCTGGTGACATTTGCATCGAAGGTGAGTGCTTATGTCGTACATTATCCCCTCTCACTTGTGCCCTAGTGCAACAGGTATATCAATCAGGCTCTAAATCCAAGTTACATGTTGTATATTGCAGATGTACATTTTTCATATCCAGTGCGGCCTGATGTGGAAATCATCAGTGGTCTTAATTTGGCACTAAAATGTGGGAAGGTGACTGCCCTAGTGGGGCCCAGTGGTGCTGGTAAAAGTACTATAGTACAGCTACTAGCACGTTTCTATGAGGTATTCTTGGTTTTCATTTTAAATTTTCATTAATTTACTCAGTGTGTTTTGTGTGAAGTGTCTAATTAGTTCCGTCTGTCTGCAGCCAACAAGGGGTAGGATTACTGTTGCAGGAGATGATTTGAGAACATTTGATAAGACTGAATGGGCCCGTGCTGTATCCCTTGTGAATCAAGTGCATACATGAACTCTAGCCATTACTTGGATTTTCTCCATTTCAAGCTTAATTGTCTATAGATAGTAGATAGTAATACACCATGAGTCATTGGCAACACTGGAAGTAATTTTCACTTAACATGTGCAGTTTGAACTGCAGAGCTCATTTAGTAGTAGTTTTTTTAATAAATTACTGCAAATAGAAGTCGAACATGGATGATGTGCACAACTGGGAGTATCATTGCCTTGTGCTCAAAGTGGGACTCTTGCAGTCTCAAAAGTAAAAAAGAACAAAAGTAGTTAATCACGCTCCTTTTAGGAGTGAATGTGTGTTCTAATTTCAGGAAAAAACAATGATGTACTATTAGAAAAAAATGTATTATGTGTAATCCTATTTCAAAGAAAATTGTTAGGCAGTTGGTATTGCTAGGTACTATCAAAATTACTGCAAATAAAACTAAAACATGGGCCTTGTGCACAAATAGGAGGGATTATCATCTTTCTTGAAGTCTGCTGTATTAAACAAAATGTTTCACCTGCAGGAACCTGTTCTTTTTTCTGTATCTGTCGGAGAGAATATTGCATATGGGCTCCCAGATGATGAAGTATCGAAGGATGATGTCATAAAGGCAGCAAAAGCTGCAAATGCTCATGAATTTATAGTTTCCTTGCCGCAGGTGTGTTGTGTAACGTCTGAAAAATACTCTTACACTTTTACTCTACTTCCTTCATGCCTCTTGATATTGATCTCTACATAGGGGTATGATACATTGGTTGGTGAGCGTGGAGGATTGTTGAGTGGTGGACAGCGGCAGGTATGGTAATGATATGCTTTGTTTTGGTAAAGTATGTCAGATCATAATTCATAATACTTAACTCTTTGTTGCATATTTGCCCTTCTCAGAGGATTGCCATTGCCAGAGCTCTGCTAAAGAATGCCCCTATCCTCATTCTCGATGAGGTAAACAATAAAATGGATCTACATATCGCCTCTTAAATTACTCAAAGTTTGAGACATTGAGTAGTATATATATATATATTAATCATTTCTTAGATTTAAAATATGCATGGCATGTAATGATATGCATACATATAATTTTGAGTTCTTCATGATATGCACTTTCATGGTTGGCCGCTACGTTTTGCTATCCAGGTTGATGTGTGTCTATCAGTCTATACTCTATATATAGAGGTGAGTTCAAGTAAAAAGTAGTCTTCCCATGAAGAGTGAGAACAACTATTGGCCTTTAATCACTTGCAAATGGATGGATTAGATGAACTTTAATTACAAGTCACATTGTCAAAAAAATATGCAAATGTTTATAGTATAAAGTGGATAGTTAATGAATAAAAGTGCACTCATGAGCGTACAAAATATTGTCAAATTTTTCTAACTTGGGCACCTTTTATTTTATATTGTGATGCACTTTTGTGGCTTGGGAATACGATGGAATAAAGCAAAATGACTTAGTTTCTTTGTTATGAAGCAGCAGTCAGTCAATTTTCGACGCGTTTTTAAATATGGGTCATCCGGAAATAGTCTCTCTATACTTTAGTACAGGGGTAAGATTACGTACATCCGACCCCCCTTACCCCACCTAAGGTGTGGGAGCCTTTGCGGGACTGGGGTAATGATGATGATGATGACATAATGTACTTTTGTGCTTTATATGTTCACTTTTTGTATATTTTGATCACATTTGTTACAATATTTTCATTAAAAGTTCTTTTAATTACCAAAACACCACCGCGTTTCGAACTTAAATTACAGGCAACTAGTGCATTGGATACAGTGAGCGAGCGTTTAGTGCAGGATGCATTGAAGCATTTGATGAAGGGAAGAACAACTTTAGTGATTGCACACAGATTGAGCACTGTTCAGAATGCAGATCAAATTGCTCTTCTTTCTGATGGAAAAATTGCAGAGCTGGGGACTCATTTTGAATTGTTGGATAAGAAGGGTCAATATGCCTCTTTTGTTGGCTCTCAGAGACTTGCTTTTGAGTGATTTTACTTGTTTGTATTTGTACATCTGCTTCCTGAAAAAGCCTCATAGACATTCTTGACCCTTTGCATGTTACAAAGAAACCAAATGACTTCCGTTAATTCGTCACTTTTTTTTTTTTTTTTTTGCAATATTTTTTATTATTATAATTCACTGAACTGTAGTGCTCTAAAAAAGCCCACAGGCAGATTCCTGGGGCACTCTACCTGATAGTGACTTATTTCATTAATCACCATTGAGCTCAGAGTGTTACGTCTGTCATTTGTACATAACACAATAGGACTGAAAATAAGAATATTTGGGTGTATATACAACTATAATTCTATAAATAACTGCAGTTAAATTTATGTCATATAATTGAATAAATAAAACAAGTCGCCTAGCTAACTAATTATGCATCCTCATATTAACTACAAAAGTGTTATGTACTTATAATAGCATAATGGAGGTTATTAATTTGTCTTCTCATATTAAGTACATGGCACTTTTGTAGTTAATACTAGCATGCACAATTAGTTAGTTTGGCTATTTTTTTATTTATTCAAATATATGATATAAATTGAATTGCACTTATTTATAGTTCTATATAGTTACATACACCAAATATTCATTTTTATAGAAAAAGATGAACTTTGAGTCCCTCAATTAGTATCCATATTGAAATGTAATCTGTATATTCAAGTTTGCAAGTGTTACATCTTAATTGTACAAATTGTTGTAAATGTGGCTCTTTGAGGTGTGATATTTACAATGTCGGCGACAACCACATTCACAACAAGTCAGACGACTGATGGATGACATTTACATTTTACACGCTTAAAAATACGGGCATTACATTTCAATAAGCATTATTTAAGGGATGGAAAGTGAGATTGTCCCTTTTTATGTCTTTGTACCAAAAGCTAACCTAATTGTTCCTTCAAAATTCAAATTATAGAACTCATTAGAAAGACATCACCATAAGAATAAAGGACTGTTTTATATGTAGTATCTATGTTGTCTCATTTATTTTTAGTTTTTCATTAGAGATAGGTGTTTTTATATGTACGTTACTTGAATTGTTTTCTGGAATATAATTTGCATTTGTTGTTAAAAATTGACATTTTGTATATTTTTATTCATATTTCAATATATTACTAGTAATGCCAATTTTGGTATTTCAATTTGTATATAAAAATCTAGTGGATTGAAACCCCAGTATGACATTGCATTGTATCAATACCGCATTTGATACAATTATTTTGTTTAATCATTAAGCCGTGACATATTAATCCCTATTAAGACTTAATTGGTTTAAATTTTAAGACAACCTTAACCTCAACAAAACTTGATTTAAAAAAAATCAGAGCAAACTAAAAAAAGAAAGGAAACTAAAATGAGCATCTTGAGCTCTTGAGATTCTTGGTTTTGACGTTTTGTACAACTCTAGTGATCCTTTAGGACAATAAATTTAAGATTTTTGAAGCAAATTTATGTTAATGTAGTTAACTACTGCCAGCCTATATTTAGTAAAAATTAAGTGAACTTAAATGAATATAATCCACGCGAGTCGGCGAGTGTAACAAAAAATGTTTGAATTCATGGTTAGCAAAAGTGAATATATTAAGGACATGTTTATTTCACGGGTTACTAGACGGTGCTTATTAAGACTCGCGTTAATAAACGGCGAATAAAATAAGCAATGTTGTAAGATCGTGTTTAAAAAAGGGTTTAAAACAACGTTTAACATTAAAATGTCCAAAATAACCTTATATATAGACACACAAACATTCATGAACACAAGTATATAATATAATATGTGGGGTCACCTCGTACGTGTACCCATACCCCCCTACCCGTTTACCCCCACCCCTAACCTACCCTACACCCTACCCCGACCCTACCTTACCCCGACCCCACCCTGACCCTACCTTACCCCAACCCGACCTCCACCCTACCCTATCATACCCCAGCCCTAACCCTACCCCCTTACCCCAACCCTGACCCCACCCTACCCACAATCCCCACCCTTACCCCTAACCATGACCCAAACCCCCACTCCCTACACCACTTTCCCCTACCTCGGCCCCACCCCGATCCCAACCCCACCCCTACCACATGCCCCTACCTTGGCCCCACCCTGATCCCGGGCCCCACCCTACATCCTACCCTAGGGTGGGGTTGGGGGTGGGACGAGGTAGGGTGATAAGGGCTTAGGGGTAAGGGTAGGGTAGGTGTGGTAAGGGCCTAGGGTTGGGGTGGGGTCGGGGTAGGGGTATGGTAGGATGGCAGTAGGGTGGGGTCGGGATCGGGTGGGGCCGAGGTAGGGGTAGGGTATTGGATCGGGGTGTGGTTGAGGTGGGGGGCATGTGGTAGGGGGTGGGGTAATGGTCAAGTAGGGTAAGGGTAAGAGGTAAGGTACGAGGATGGAGGTAGTGGGTTATGGTGGGGTCGGGGTAGTAGGGTAGGGCGGGGTGCGGTAGTGGGTAGAGGGGTAACCATAGGGTAAAGGCAATGGGTAAATTCAGAAACTGAAAAAGTTTAAAATGTCGCTTAATTAATACATAGATGGTGGTGTGGTAAGTAAGCGTCACTTTAAGCATCTCTTTCAATTAGTAAGCGGCTTTTTAAGCAGCATGCGTGTCCACCTGTCTTACTAACCTAAATGTGACTTTAGCAGCGAAGTAAACACCTCCTAAGATCATTTATACAGTTACACTTGACCTTTAATGTTCTTCAAAGTGAACAAAGATAGCAAATCTATATCCTTGACTTGAAAGTCGAAATGATAAGTAAATGAGATGTACCAAAAATTAAAATAAAAAAGAACATAAATTACGTCATTTTTAAATACACTATTTGCTGAAGGAATCCAATTGTGTATGAAGTGTACGTATACGAATACATTCACCAAATTCAGTAACAATTAACATGAATGCCATAGCTTGGACACAAACACAAGTAAGAAACAGGCCAAAGTTTATACATACATCACTGATTAGAGTTTCATTTCTCTAATTCTCTTCCAAAACAGTTTGGGATTTCTACTAATCCTAATAAAATACCGGAAAATCAAAGGTGCAAAGCCTAATTGCACTTGGCATCTGGTGTGAAAAGTAATCAAGTAAAACCACTCAATCCCAGATACCAATATAGAATCTCGCTGTGTCAAAAACACACGAACTCCAACATACCAAGAGGTCTTCTCCTGTCTTCCAGTACGAGAGGAGGCGCTGGCCTGTTCACCAGGGGCCATACCCAAATCTTCAACTTTCAACAGACCAGTGAAGACCTAAGCGAAGTGGTGGTTGGAAGACAGGTGCATGATGCCCAACGGATAACCGATTCAGTCACCATGAAGTCAAGTTCACCGAGCCCTATTGTATGGTTCCTCCTGCTGCTGTGTATACCTGACGTTCTTGACATGTTTGATCCTTCACCTCTTTCAGCCTCAAATGCTTTACACTCCGATCTTCCCGCTGCATGCCCACGGCATAGGGGAGTGTCATCCATCATAAACAACTTTCCTGAACCGTCTGCCTCTGCATTAATAGCAAATACATTTTGAGATGATAGTACTTTTCAAGGTTTGCTTGGTTGGGTATATTTTGGGAAGAAAGAAAGTGGAAGAGGTAAGGGAGAGATGTAGAATTACACCCTCAGTCCCACAAGAATAAAGTCCAGTTTCTAAATCTTTTTTTGAGCTTCTTTTATAAAAACTTTCTTTGAGCTATTTCAAGAAATGGAGCTATTTTTATGCGATTTGCAAAAAAAGTTACATAAAAGATTTTTAGTTTTAAAGAACTACTCCTATCCCGTTTAGTTTTAGAGAGTTATCTTTCTTTTTCAGTCTGTCCATACTTAGTTTATTATCTCATACCATATTTAGTAAAATTTGTGTTTTTAAATCATTCTTATTTTATTAATTCAATGTCAACCACATGAACCCATTTTTGTTAATGACCGCACTACATCCTCATGTTTCAATGTTAGTGGGATGGAGGTAGTAGTATTCACTGAACTCAAATGTTGTTGGGATGGAGGAGTGCATAATTTGTTGGGGTCAATGGGGTGCAAACTTGGGAATAAAGAAAATTGTGTCGGTGTCCACTTAAAAACAAAGATGGGACAGAATTTACTACTTTAACCCCATTAATGCATGAGATTATTCCACATACATGTCTGTAAGAACAAAATTTGTTTTCTTCTCTCCTTTTTCAATCCAAACACCTTTACAAATTGTACTCCCTCCCCAGATAAAGCTTACATATTCCTTTTTGGCTCATTCCTAAATAAAGTTATCTTTAATTTTTATTAAAGTAAAAAACTTACCTGATTGTCCTCAATCAATATCCCACCTACCAAAAATAGTCATCCCCAACCAAATACCACAAGGGAATTCATGGAAGTCAAACAAGGATTTTATTTGTTGACAGGAGTACTCATTTTTAATTCATTGTCTCTTTTCTCCCATTTCTTTATGTCCAACATTTTTCTTTGTTTCTTTCTTATTTCTAGCTTCATCATCCAATCAAACTGTTGTTATAGCTAAGAGAAGCGAAGGGGCACATTGATAAAGAGGAAGTCATTAGAATGAAAAATAGGAAACTTGATTACCTTTGTGAAGTGAATCTTGCGTGGACGGGTTTGCCAAGAGATCCAACTTAGAGCCACCGCCTTCTTCAACATTACAAGTTGGACTGGAGAATGCAAAGCTTGGGATGGAGGAAAGGGGAGTATAATATTCTGTGGTGCTTTGGAAAGAAAACCCACCACCCGACTCAAAGTGAGGCGGAGGAGTTGATGGTGCAGATAGGAAAGAAGAAAATGATGAACGGCATGCGAACGGGGCATCACATACTATAGCTGACACTGTCCCAAAGCTAATATCCCTATCCATGAATGAGGAAGAGAATAAGCCTTCATCATCTGAACATGCCATGTTTCTTTCATCCTGTGCATTTGGCTCTTGCAAAAGTCCCAATTTGTCACTTACCCATGAATGACCTAACAATATAGAAAAGAAATAAGTACAGTTAAAAGGACTACCTAAACAGAGGAAAAAATGAAACGGGGATTTAATAAGCATTGTTCAGAGAGTGTAACTATTAAAACTTACAGGCAATTCCTATCATAATAAATTACAAAACCGAAGTATTTAATGAGTTTATTTAATTAATAAAAATATAATACTAATCAATATGGGTCATCCGGAAACAGTCTCTCTGTGCTTTAGTA